ATTTTTACAGAATCTGTTTATTTCCTCATAAGTAAAGTTAACAGCTAAGTATTTCTTAACTGCACCACAAAACACACCACTTTTGATTTTTGGACCCATAATTTCTTACAAAAGTATGTAAAACCAGTTCATAAATATAATTTAATTTGGAAAAGTGAATCAATGAAATATTGTAAACGGTTAACAATTGTTAACGCTATAATCAGTTGTGGACAGAAAACGTGTGCGATCACATTCTATTCCTGAACACACATTTATTTATATTTTGCAAAAACTTAACCACAGCTTTTTAGATTTTTGAAAACGTTTCAAAACTGTGCTAAATAAAGTTTAAGGTAATAAAGGGAGAAATTGCATTTAAAGATTGTATACCATAAAAGACATTTATTTAAAACATCGAAAGATATTATATTGTTAAAAAGTGTATATTTTATGAATGTAAATGTTTTTAAAACAATTTGTACAACCAATTTTATAAACAACAATAAAAACAATTGTTTTAATAAACTTTTTTGATGAGTCCATAAATTTAATAGTCAAAAAAATAACAAAGTTATTTTTTGTTTGTTTTAAAATCGACCATTTGGTTTAAAATCGAGCTAGTGATCACCTTTAGTGAGGTGTACGTGCCTCTTCAGTTTATGTAAACTTTCTAATAAAGTTTGTTTACACTAGGGTAAACAGTTTTTAATAAAGTTTTAAAACTCTATTAAATAAATTAAAACGCTATTAAATAAAAAAAATCACAGAATATTAAATAAAACTTTTATTTCAAAAGAATTTTTTTTTTTAATGTTAAATATAAGTTTTTTTAAAACAATTTGTATTCTTAATTTTCTAAATGACGACAATGAATACGTTTCAATAAACTTTTTTTTAAAATACTTTTTGATAGTTTAAATAGAGTTAGTTTTTTATTAAATGATAATTAGATGTAAGTTTTTATTTATTTAAAAGAGTTTGCCTAATATTATAAGAACATTAGAAAATATCAAAGTTTTATAGTTAGTTGCGTTGGTTTGAAAAGATTATAACAGAAATTTTTTGTAATAGGAGAATTTAAATAAAATCTTTTAATTTTTTTAAATGTTTAATTAAAATTATTTATTATTATTTTATTTGTTTATGTATTCTTTTTTTTTATTGATGTATAAAAATACATGAATAAAAAAAAAAGTAATCAAATAAATATTTTTATATTATTATATATAATATAAATATTAAAAAAAAAAAATAATAAAATTATTTGCTATTCACTTAATATAAAAAAAAAATCAGTCAGAAGTTCATCAAACCAACATGACGAATTATTTAACCTTAACGTAATTACATAACATAATTAAAAGTAACTTTCTATTAGAGTTTTAGTTTTTTCAGATTTATATTAGTTGATTTATTTTTAGAGCTATTGGTTTTAATCTTTTTTTTTTATAGTTTAGCCTGTTAATATTTTTCTTTCCTTTGGGTTGTGTATATATATATATGTATACATATATATATATATATATATATATATATATATATATATATATATATATATATATATATATATATATATATATATATATATATATATATGTATATATATATATATATATATATATATATATATATATATATATATATATGTATATATATATATATATATATATATATATGTATAGATATATATATATACATATATATATATATATATATATATATATATATATATATATATATATGTATGTATATATATATATATATATATATATATATATATATATATATATATATATATATATATATATGTATATATATGTATATATATGTATATATATATATGTATATATATATATATATGTGTATATATATATATATATATATATATATATATATATATATATATATATATATATATATATATATATATAAAATAAAATTTAACAAGTTGTTGCATTAGATGATCTTCCTAGCTCAGGTAAACGTATTAGTTCTCCACTTTATATATATTGTGAAACCTTGCACTTACTGTCTCTTCTTTAAGTGTCTTGGTAATTGAAAAATATCGCTATTATTAACAATTTAATACATCTTTCACTGCAATTAGACAAGCAAATATTAATAGAACATAAATCTGTTAATAGTTTTAAAATTAAGAATGCTAAATTCGATATTCTGTGAAACAGAACAGTGCAGCTGAGTTAGATTTACAAGCTTTAATTGTTTGCAAAAAGTTTATTACTACCCTGCTGGACTTTGCAAAATGTTTATTACTACCCTGCTGGACTGACTCAAAAAAATCTAATAGTGAAAATTATTTAAATACTTTATTTGAAATTCCCCTTTTCCACTTGTCTGTTTTGCAGTAAGGAGGTTGTATTAGTGGAAAATATTTTTTTGTAATTGCTACTATATATTTATTACTACTAAGAAATTATTTTCAGTATTTGATTATACTTAACATGGATACTTTAAAAAGTAAAATGCAATTGTTACAATATTTAAACTACTTTAAACAGTTATAAAAAATTAAAATTAGAGTTGATAAAAATCATTTTCATCATATAATTTTGCAAAAACATGCACAATGTATAGACCAAAGGATTCAAATAAATGAACAAAGAGTAAACTTAAAAAATATTCAACTTATTAGATTCCACATCCTTTTTTCTTCTTGATCTAGCTTGGTCTTGATCTAGCATAGTATTAAAATTTTATTTCATTTAATTAGCTTATAATTTGATATTTTTATTCAATTTTTTTGTTTAATTGTTTTGCAATAAAATAATGTAAGAGAAAAAAATTTTGGTTTATTATTTAATTTTTTAATTATTTTTTCAAAGAATTATAATTTTTTTAAATTTAAATTATTCATAATTTAATTTTTAATTCATTAATGTTTGCATGGATTGTTTTTATTTTTTCAACTAATTTTTAAAAAGTTAAAAATGATGACACCTTAGCAAAGTTTAAAAATATATAACTATTTAAAATGTTTACGACTTAAATGATATTTTTTTCCTTGCTGTCTTCTAAATATTGGTACTGTGGCTTAATCTATTTTGATTTTCAGGAAGTCTTTTACCTTTTTTCATGTTATTTTATTTTCTGTTTTTAAAAAATCTGGTATTATATGGGTGTCACTGCTATTTCCATTCAATTAAATTTCTAATTATTGTGAGTGAGCGTTAAAAATTTGCAAAAAGAAATTTAAGTCTTCTAAAGTCCTACTTGCAAATTGTTTTAAATTTTTTTAAAATTTTTCAAAATTTCAAATTCAAAAATATTTGAACAAGAGAATTTTAGCAGACTAAATTTCTCTTGTTCAAATAGATTTCTTTTTGAAATGAACTCCTAATAAATATCTTGATATCACTATAACAGGGATTATCTTTTTCCAGATATTTCCGGAATTTCAAATATTTTTTCGGATATTTTTATTTTTTCTGGATATTCATATAGTTTTCTGGAAATATAAGTTAAAATTTTTTTTTTGTTGTTAATTAAAACAGTAAAGGTATTGTTCATCAATTACTTTATGCTATATTTTACTTAGATAAGACACTATTTTTACAAATAATTTTTTCTTATTTGTACGCGTATATTTATTAAAAAAGGAATTCCTAAGTGCCGAGACAATTAGAGTAATTGCTCAGCTTTACGTAATTAAAAATTTGTGCAAAATTGCTCAAATTTAATTCATGTAAAGCTGAGTAATTATTCAAAAAACGCTGAGTAAAAGCAATTGCTTTTTATTCACCCAGCCTATTAAAAAATGTATGTATGTATTTATATAATAAAATAAGTTTGAGTTAATTAAAATTACCAAGTCAATTTATTTATAAAGATATTAACAAAAATTTTTTTATTGTTTTGCCATATATTTCTGCAGTATTTGTTTAAAAAAAATTTAAAGATTTTTTTTTTTAAATAAATACTGCAGAACTTAACTTCAAGAAAAAAATGGTGTTAGATTAAAACTTACCTTTGAGAAAAAAAAGGTGTTATAAAATTATTTATTGAAAGGTTTTTTGCTTATGTTTTGATAAATACTTCGTTTTGGAATGTTTTAATAATATGAAACTTATTTTTTAAAGATTATTTAAGATAAGTAAACACTCAGCACTTAGAGATCACTTTAATTATTTTCACTACTTCACGTGAATATCTAGTTTAATTTAATTTATTAACTCTATTTAAGTATTAAACTACTATTCTTTTATATTGAAGAATACCTGCCAAAAATTTTCTTTTCAAGCACATCAGGTATTCTTAAATACACAAAGCGGTTTTAATATAGGATTTTTCAGGATATGTCTTAAATATATTTTTCAGGATTTTTTTGAATATTATGAGGAAAATATTTTCCGGATATTTTAAATATGACCGGGATAATCTATGATATAAATAAAATTCCCTTTTCCTTAATCTGTTCAAAATTTCTTCCTAATACAATTTTTAGTTAAAAGCTTTTTAGTTTTAAGAATAAGTATAATATAAATGAAAACTTTGCAAATTGATCATCTTGGTCAACGTCGACCGTATTAGGGCGTGCCCAAATTAAAACTTGAGGATTTTTTTTTTTTTTCAAGGCAAGTATTGTTTTTTTAAAAAAAATAACGATATTCATCAATGTTTCTGCTAAATTTCTCTGGGATCTAAATTTCTACAGTTGTCCAAATTTTTTTTCCTAGAATAGCGCCTAACATCACAATAAATTTAACTTTAAAATAGATATTGGAAATTATTGACTTCCATAATAAATAAATTTTTTTGCAACAATGCAAATGATCCCAGTCTAAACATGCTTCAGATAAATGGCACTTGTGAATTTTTAACCTAATGTGCTTTTACATTTGCAAGATTTTTATCTCATGTGCCTTGCGGTCTCAGAATCCACCCTATGGTGTTTCAAGCGCTTTGCTTGCACTGTTTCACAGGTAAAAACCCACTGGTTTTGATAAAAATACAAAATTATATCCAAGAAAAATTTAAGTATTTACTTTTTCTATAAATAGGAAAGCTTGGCAAGACATCAATTATTGAATAACTATGAAGTTTTATATAATGGCACAGCTAAATATGGTATCAATCAATATTCAGATTGGTCTCTTGAAGAGTTTAAAAATTGTAATTTTTTGTTTCTATTGTTATGTTTTATTTTTGACTTTTTTTGTTAATGCAGTTTTTGTTTTACTTTATAATGAAATTATAGAGCAGATATTTTTTTGAATTTTACAAAAAAAATATATAAAAATTATTTAATACTATTTTATGAATATTACAGATCTACAATTATATAGTATTATTTCTGATTTATTTGCATTTTAAAAAATAAGAAATACAAAAAGGTGATACAGGTAAAAATTACTCTTATGTAAAACCGAAATAAAAATATTAACTACAAAAAGACCAGAAGTTTTTTTTTAAAGAGAAATAATCAAAGAGGCACACGTTTCAGAGAGCAAATTTGTAAAAAAGTTTTTTTTTTAATATATATAGGGAAAGTAGGGGCATAACCGCCTATGGAAGCATAACCGTTTTTTAACATTTCTCTTTGAAAAATGTTATCTAATATGGTAAAAAATATATCACATGTTGGTAAAACAGTTTCTTTTATTTCGCTTATGTCAAAAAAAGTGCTTGATGCAAGTGAAAATGTAAATACAAAGAATGGCTGCACAGTATGCAAACATGCAACAAAATCATCAAATAATCTTGGCTGTGAAAATTGTAAAGAATCATGAATGGTGTACCCCCAATGATTTTTGTGAGGATGTGGTTGTGCCTTACAATAGGGGCAAAACTGTTTTTTTCACTAAGTGTACTTTTTGTGTAATAATATTTTCAAAAACCGTTATAGTTTTTTCCTATTTGCAACAATTTAAAGCTTAATAATGTGGTTATTGAAATAAACTGTTGAAAAAACACATTTCATTTTTATTTTCAAATAATATATAATTTTTGATTTGTATATTATAATAGAATTATAGATTTAAACTGTAGTTGGCGAAACTATTTTATGCCGAAATAGTTATGTAGTTGGCGAAACTAATTATACCGAAAGCAGCAATTCTTTAGAGTTTTTAAATAGCAACTTTTTTCTTTGCAAGTTTTATTTCACTATTAATTTACAATTTCTAGAATTAAAGAACATTCAATTAAATCATTTAAAAAATAATAATTTCATTACCTGAAAATTAACTTGAATTATTCAAATCAATATGATAGGTGAACTCAAAATCTTGTTATTAGCATGCTATATAATGAACTCTATAATAAATAATTTGATTATGCAACCAAATACTTAAATTATTTGAACATAATGAATCTGAATATTTAATCTTTTGAAAATGAATATATAAAACTAAAAACATAATAATAACTCAAATGAAAAGTTCTATAAATGATGATAGCATTACCCAAAGCTGCTTAAAAACAAGCAGTTCTTTTGAAGCTGCTTAAAAACAAGCAGTTCTTTTGAGAAAATCATATTGTTAAAAGTTAAGTTAAAGCAAAAATTATTAAAAAAACATTTAATCATTAAGTTATATTTTAACAATTACTATCATTTAGATCGTCTTACTTCAAATCTGGGAATGTTTTCTGATTTTTCTACTCCAAAGATTTATTTGAACAACGGAAATGAAATTTGTTCAATACAAAAAAAGGCATATCCTAGTTCAAAAGATTGGTAAGGAAATAAATAAAAAGTACTTTAAAAAAAAGTGTAAAATAAAACATCTAAGAAAGTTTCATCTTTATATAAGCCTTTTTTAAAAACTTGAATTATATAAATTAGAAATAGAATATAAAAATCTACAAATGATTATAAATATTTCAGAGGTGTACAAATAAATATTTAGTATTTTTGAGTTGTTCAATAATAAGAATTTTTTTATTAATTTAGTTTAATAGTTAAAATTATTTTTTTTTTTTTTGTTAAATTTTTATTTTTTCATCTTTTATTTCATTCTTTTTAGTATTAAAAAACTTTTTGAATATTAACTAATAAACTTTAAATATTATATTTCAAGTGAAATAAGTAACTCATAAAAAATAAATATGGTTCATTGTTTAACTACTTCAACTATTTCAAGTGAAGTAAATAATTCATAAAAATTAAATATGGACAATTTTCCATTAGTAAAAAAATTTTTTTTTAAAGTGGATTACCCACATATATTACCCAAAGTTATTGCACAGATAATCATTATAGATCAGATGCCCCTTTCATTTTTATGATTGACAAAGATTTTTCTATATGACAAAGGTGCAATTAGACTTCTTGTCCCTCTAGCAATGGTTCCTATTGAAAATCTATCAACAGTAATCAACCATTTCTTTGTTAATGCAAAATTTGACCTGTTGTTAAACTTTGTAAACAAGCAGTGACAACAAATCTTTTCACAGCGCCACCTTTTCATCACATGTTGGTTCGTTATGGCAAAAAAAAATCTAGATAAAATGAACAGAAAAATCATCAGCATGGTGACATAAAATGTTATAATGTTTGCAGGTTTTATTCTGTCCTGTACACAGAAAAATAATAAATTTTTATAATTATGCAACAAAAATTAATTTGATATGATTAATGGTTTGATGCATTATTCTATCCAACATCATTGTTAGTTCAAAATCATTATCCAATCCAACATCATAGTCTTCTGAAATTGTGCAAAAAGAAGATGACTCCAATTTCTTTTTAATATGGTAGATCATAGTTAGATAAAAGGAACACTACTTGCTTTAATGGTAAATCTGTATTTCATCTTGTACTAAAAATATGTCTCTGCAAAATTTGCCAAGATAGTTGTCTCATTAAGAATAGTTATCTCCTTGAGATCATTTAAATTGCTTGGTGATGATTTGGTGATAAATGAAGAGTAAATTTATCAAGCTTTTTACACAAAAAACATTGTTAGTTATAGTTGTTTTCATTGTTTGCTTCAAAGGTCAGTTCTATCCATTGTTGCACACTGTTTGAAAGCAACTGTTAACTTCATTTTTATTACTTTCATCATTTTTATATTGCTCTTCAGAATTATTATTTTGTGTAAGATAGTGTTGCATGTAATTTATAGCAACTTGCATGCTATGACAACTGTTGCATTGATTCATCTGCTGCAGAAATGATGCTAATTTATGTCTACACTGTGGGCAAAGTATTTTATCTGGTATAAATTTTATTTTATAGTATAGGACGTTGCTGTACACAAGTTGGTTTTACAAAGACTGTCAGTAAAATAAAATTAACTCTTTAAATATCTATAAAAAAATGAAGCTATCATAAAATTTGTCTGTTTAATCTATTTTATTTAAAATATTTTTTTTTAACATTGTAACAATCTCCAACATTTATTGGCAAATTTAAAACTAATTTTAGTCTAATGTCTCTAGGAATTAATGAAAGTGTAACCCGAAGTAACAAAACAATTTGTCTTTCTTATTTTAAAATCAAAAAAGGGTCATCAAAAATTTTGAATTGAGTAATTTTTGTTCCATCTTCAGAATTTAGCAAATTGTTTTTATTTTTATTTTTTATATTTTAGCAACAAAATAATTAGGTACCTTTTTTTTTCTTTTTCTTTAACTGAAATTTAAAATTCATCATAAAAATTTTTTGCTACAAATAATAATCTAAGGTTTAAAATTAAAATAACAGCTACAAAATCTAGAGAGTGTGAGCCCAGATAGTTTTTAATTTAAGGTTTAAAATGTCATATCTTCATCATGCCCCAAGATACCTAAACCATAATTTACAATGAGATTAATCAACATCCCCACTTTCATTCGAAAAAAACTCGAATCCAAGGAAGTTAGGCGACTCTGTGAGTTAGTGAAAGTGCTACCTGTAGTAATGGAACATAAAAATTGTCTTGAAAACTTTAAATTGGTTGTCACCACATCCCTGATAGTACTGTGCTCAACTTGTTTCTTTGTGCAACGATCTTGTTTGCCAAGGTTAGTGTTTCAGGGTTATAATTCAAGAGGTTTAATGCATCAAAAAAAAAAAGAGTAGTCTCCTTGTCTGTAGTCAAGGAGGACATTTTAAGTTACTAGCTTTTAAGTCTTTTTTAAAATCATTAAATCACATGGTTGGCGTTTATATGAGTCATACTCGCCAATTTAAAAAAAAAAACATTTTTTTGTTAACATTTTAACATTATTATTATTTGAACATTTTTTATATTATTTTAAAAGCAGATATTGAAGTATTTTTTTTTTAAACAAGGATTGGAATGTCAACAAAGATTAAAGATCAGAAAAATGTATTTTTTTATTATTAGTTTTTTTTATAATTATTTTGGTGATAATAGTATAAAGTGCATTATATAAGTTTTTGTATAAAGTACTATTTTTTAATTAATGATATTGCTATTATTAAAGTTATTCGTTGTATTTATAATATGGAGTGTGTTAAAACTATATTGGTTTTGCTTATGCTTAATGGTGTCTGGCACTACAGGTTTTGTGGGGATTTACATAACCCTTTAAGTCTTTGATATAACTTTTTGTGATACAACAAAAAAGTGCAAGGTTTTTTATATGCCATTAAATTGTCAAATGTTACTTTTTGAATTTTAATTATCTTAATTTTAAAGTGTTTCTGGGAGATTGTTGTTATTCTTAGTTAGCAACAAATGTTATAAACTTTTCCCCCTAAGGAGACAAGCAATAGTATTTGATAATGATAGGGATTGATGTTTTTGTTTGTATATTAAGCGTTGAAGAATGATCAATCCTGTTAGAAGTTGTATATTTAAAGTAATTATGTTTGGTAAACTACATGACTATTATTTGTTACTAACTTAAAGTTAGTTGCAAAAAAAAAAAAAGGGAAAAATATTTCTTAGAATTTTGCACTCAATAATGCAGATTTGATAATGCATCTTGACACAAAGTAACATTCTGTTAAAAGGCCAACATTTTAGGAAGGTGGAGGCTATTGGCAGCGACCTGAAAAATTTTTGGAATCAAAATGTTTTGATTTTTGCCTCCAGTGGCTTGAACCTCTCAATTGGCATCCAAAGTCAGAGTTTTTTATTAAGGACAAAAGGTTTTGGAGATCAACAATAATAGAGAGGCGGAAGCCATTGGTAGCTGCCTCAAGAAGAAATTTTGGAGGCAAAGTGATTAGGCTCTCCCTAGTAGCTTCTGCCTCCCAACTGACTGCGGCCGTGAAATTGGAAGCGGAACTTTTGCCTCCCACCAGCAGAAGTAATGAGAAATATTTTCATGTTTGTTTTTAAGTTAATAAGCAATTTAAATATTAATTAGAAGTAAGTTATAAAAATTTGATATCAAAGTTGCTTTTTATATGATTTCATGCAAAATATTTGACTATTTAAAAAAATTCTAATTTTCTTCTAAAATTATCGAATAAATTAGCAGTTTAATATTCAAAATAAAAGTTAAACATGTTACATTGGTGAAAAGATTATTTTGAAAATAAAAAAATTAAATTTTACAATGTCAATCACAATCTTTAAAATGATTAAAAGTATTGACTTAAAAGTTTAATATGTTAAAAATGTTTAAAAATTTTAAAACTTTTTAAAGTTTAAACATTTAAAATGTTTAAAAGTTCAAAAAGATTTAAATTGAGTTAAAAAATTTTAAAAGGTTCAAATTGAGTATTTAAACATAATAATTGTTTCAGCGATATTTCTTTTTGTAAATTTCCAATCTATAAAATGCCATCAAGCATTATTTTTATATATTTTGTCAATGTATGTACAATACACTTTGACTACGACTTATTGTATTAAAGTTGTATGTCTTAGCAGGTATTTTTCATCATTGCACTGTGTGTCAAAGTGTGGCAAGATCATACAAAAGATTTCTCAAGTTTAAAAAAATATAAAAACAATAAATAAGTATAATTTTTAATAAACAATTATAGGAAAAATGGTAATGCTACTCATAATGTAGACTTTGTGACATCTAAGGAGCTATACTATCTTTAATTCAGAATCGCCTCTGATTGGTTTGAATTAATGTAAAATTTTCTGCAGTCATTCTAAATATCGAGGAAATACACTCGTCAAAAATTTGTCGTTTTTATTGTTCACTTTTTTTAAAATTCAATCCTCTCATTTTTTAAGATCCCCCTATTTACTTGGGAGGTGAGAGTATTAAGTTATTTGTTATTTATTGAACTGAAAAGCTTAGCCGCCATCAGATTTTAAAAAAACTCTAATTTAAGAGCCATTTTTTAACATAAACCATATTCAAAACCATTCAAAAGATAACCCAAAGATGACCTCAATAAAAATAATTATGTATTAAATTTTCATTAAAAGTAGTCTCTAACTGTTGTTCAACAGCTCATGAAGCAACTGATTTCCCTGTTTAAAAATGCTGCAGATTCTTTATTTTTGAAATGTTAAATATTCTGAATCTACCATTTATTAAAATTCCCCTGGTTTATAGATCTTATAAATTCTAACCCTCCTGTTAGATAAGATTCCCCTGTTTAATTTGCAGGTGAGAGTATAAATAAAATTGTTATATTTTGAACTGAGCAGCTTAGAATTTCATCAGAGTTAACAGAATACTAATATAAAAGCCACTATTAATTATCATCTAAGATTAGTTTAAAATCTTATGCAATTATAGTTGTATGTAGTTAAGAATATGATACGGTTTTTTAACAGTATATCAAAATATTTGAAGTATAAAAATTATTTCATTTGCAAAAAAAAAAAGTATTTAGTCAACACTTTTAAATATTAAAAAAAATCTTTTTTGCGATAATGTTGTGTTTTGTCAATACTATTGAGTCAATAGTATTCACAATATACAATGTGGTTGCAAAATACAATTTTACATGGGGAGTAATAGGGATGTCGATTCTGATTCTGATTATTTGGAAATTGAACTTGAAAATTTTGAAGTAGACCACTACAAGCTGAGTAGTGTCAAGATATTGTCACTACTCAACTTGTTCTACAAGATGCAGAGCTAAATTCTTTAATTACAAAAATTCAGAAAGTTGTAAAACTTTTCATAAAATCACTAACCAAAAATGATTAACTACTGCAAAAGTATGCTAAAGAAACTGTTGGAAAAGAACTTTCTTTAATTTTAGACTGTAAAACTAGATGGAGTAATTTATTAAGCATGCTGGAAAGATTTTTAAAAGTTAAAGATGCTGTTCGAAAAAGTAGATAGATTCAAAAATTAACATTGATTAGTAAAATTACTTTCTAATATAGTATCAAGCTTGCAACCAATTAGGTTGGCCGTGAAACACTCTGCACTGAAAAGGTAAATATATATGAAGCCGATCTTAAATTAAAATTTGTTAGAGGAGTTAAGTAACCAAAACACTTTATTAAGTATTGCAGAATTAATAAATTATATTAAAGAAAGAAGAATGATGTTTTCAGACGTGTTACACTAAATAATAGACCCTAATGTTATTATTTCTGTTAAAGACAATTATGGCATTTTTAATATCAGCAGTTTTTTAATAAAACTGTTCAAGCCGTAATTAAGAAAATATTTTGTACAATAATGTGGAATCTGGTGAGAGTATTTAATAACACCTAAATGAATCAGATTCAGATTTAAATAACAACCTCATTAAAGGAATAATTTTTTTAGAAGAAAGTAACACAAAACAAATTATAAAGTGTTTAAGTACTTTTGACAACAAAATATACGAGGGTAGTACATTCAAATAGTTTTTGACTATTTGATGATCATTTGTCCAATAAGTGTTGAACTTGAAAGAGTATTTTCAGGAGCTGCGCTAATTTGTACTAAAATTAAATCTTGATTAAGAGACAAGACATTGGATAGTTTAAGCTTTCTACGAAGCTACTTTTTGAAAAATTATATTTAATAAAAATGGTATTATAAAAATTGTATTGATTTATTGATATATAAAGTTTGTTTGTAATTTACCGGTATTACAATTTTTATTTACTGAATTACCGGTAAATCAAAAAGTCAGTAAATTTACAAACCCTAGGGAGTGAAAATCTCATGGTGATAAAATTTTAACACAAATTTTTACTAGTCAATAAAAATTTAATATAAAATTTTTTACTGGGGAGTAAAAAATAAAAGGGAGTAAAAATGTAAGTAAAAAAATCTCTATGGTATATTAATTGATTTATTTTAAGCTTGTTTTTTATTATCAATTCTGTTGTAAGAAATTTTATTTCAAAAAAAAAGTTTAATTTTTGTAAAAGATTTTATTATTGAAAAAATTTGATTCAAGCGGACATTAAAATAAATTAATTTTATTATTTCCTATTAATTGCCTAAAGATGTTATAGTTTTCAATAGAAAGGCTACTAGAGATGGAAGCCAGAACATTTTGCTGCTAAAAGTTCATTTTTTCATTTAATTCATATTTTCATATTTAATTAAAAATGAAAAAAGGTGTGACCTTACAAAATGACCTTAAGCGGAACATTTATTTCCAAAATATCCATATGTTGTGCTGGAATGTCTGCTATCCATCGCCTGGCATCATTTGGTATCCCTCCTAATTTAATCTAAAAAACTTATTTTGCTTTTGTCTTTTCGCATATGGCTTACGCATGGCATGTGTTTCACATTATCTCTAGCTTTTAATTTATGAAACTTTTTAACATAAAGAAACATGCAGCAACCATTTATAAATTCTCATAAATACTTAGATATTGTATTTATTTATAAAGGAAATAATAACAATAATAATAATAAAAAAATAATTGATGCTAATCGAAAAAATTTAAATAATTGTTTTTTTTACTAAATTTTATTAGTACAATTTATTTCAGCTAAAAATTTAAATAATTGTTTTTTTTACTAAATTTTGTTAGTATGTATATAGTATATTATAGTATATTTCGATTTAGATATGGCCTCAAAGTTACTTTTAATTCGGAGTGTAGAGAAAACTTTACTTCTTTAACAATATTTTCTTCCCGCTTGGTACATCGTTTTTATATCACGACTTATATCATTGTTATATTACCCACAACTAATTTTTTTTTTTTTTTTTTTACCACTCATTTGGTTTTAATTTATCTGGTTTTATTACAGTATTTAGTTAGTCTTATTGCAATATTCATTAATATTTATATGCTGATTTTCATACTATTACTGTTAACAAGGAATTTTTATGTTATATTATCTTGCATTTATTAGTCAGCTTTGTTTTAATTTTCACATGCACAATTTTTATCTTTTATTATTATTCAGAGAATTTTTTTATATTCTTCATTAAATGTTAACATTTTTGCCAGTGACATTTTTTAAGGTTTTTGTG